ATATATATATATGAGTGTGTGTGTGTGAGAGAGAGGATGCACAATTGCGTACACGTGTGTCTGGTTTGGTTTTACGTACTTTGATTCCGATATCTCCCATGAGCGGTTTGTTTTGAAATGTATGTCTTTTACATATAGAAGACTTAATCAGATATATGCATACCTATACTCACGTATATATCCATACATACAATTCACGTCTCTAAACTGGGTGGCATATACACGCCAATACGTCAATATGATGCGGATTCGCCTGATACACATAGTTCATTCAATCAGCCATACGCTTTTTACCATTAGCAATAGAGAAACATGATTGCAAGCACAACCCAATAGCTGCAATATGATAGTTGCTCTCCGCTACTACCTACCCTGCGTCTGCACCACCTGCTTCATTATTATCTATATGCATATTATGGGAGCCTATCATTGGGAATATTCACCAGTGTATTCGACATAATCGATGTACACTCCTTGACATGCACACAACTTGAATACCACATACCACCAACCCACCCACAACAGGTCTATACATGTACTCCCCTGAACTCAATCTATACACTCCCCTGAACTCAAACTATACACTCCCCTTAACTCAATCTTTACACTCCCCTTAACTCAATCTATACACCCTTTAGCTCGATCTATACACACCCTTTAGATCGATCTATACACACCCTTTAGCTCGATCTATTCTACACACCCGTTAACTCAATATAAAATCACTCTGTGCCTCAATCTATACACCTTCCATCATCCCCACACAGGTGGTGCGAGACCAGTTCAAAGTCATGCACACAGGCATGCGCCAGCATTCGGTCATCTCCGACCACAACAGCCTGGTGATCACACTGCGCCGCATGATCACACCCGAATTTCGGCCCAACTTTTTTCATCTCATACGACTCACAGCCCAGTCCTTCGATGATGTTGGTAGCCTGTCACTCAACACATCCAACACACGCATGGGCGGCAAACACAGCGGCTTCACTGCGGCGGTGTTCTCCTTTGCCGAGGATGTCATGGCCGGCCGGGCGACGATAAATATCACGGAGTGTACAAAAATGGTGAACGATGGAGGTGAGTCTAGCTGCACATGTATAAGTGGATGTTCATCTCTCCAGACTTATCTACCTCGTCGCAGTGTTTGGGTGTCTGGAGCTGTGTCTATATATTGCTGTGCCTATATATATTGCTGTGTGTGTGGTGTGTGTTTTGTGACTGTCTGTGTCTGTGTCTGTGTCTGTGTCTGTGTCTGTGTCTGTGTCTGTGTCTGTATCTGTGTCTGTATCTGTATCTGTGTCTGTACCTGTGTGAGTTGTTTCTGTCTGTGTCTGTCTGTGTCTGTGTCTGTGTCTGTGTCTGTATCTGTATCTGTATCTGTATCTCTGTGTGTTCTCTCTGTCTGTGTCTGTGTCTGTGCGTGTGTGTGTGTGAGTCTGTTCTCGTTGAATGTTTGCCGTGCGTGCACATGGTAACCGTTTGTGACTAATTGAGGAGATAGTACTCAGATCGATCTGAGTCTAAGCAATTAGTAACTTTGTAGTATCGCCTGTGAGCGCCGCTGAATATGCTCGAGTAAGGGGGGCCACTGTACAGACGTATACCAGACCTCGGGCGTATC